AGGATAGACTGTGGCTGCTCACCCAGAATTTAACTTAGTAAAAATTATTTTAGGGCACTGATGAAAGGCATTTTGGAAACTTCCTCAGGAATTTTGATTCACATTGCAAAAATCGCTACCTTTATAGCTTATGTTTATAGTTAGCTCTCTGTGTTATTTTCAAGGTAAAAAATTTCTTAAATGATAATTTCAGAAACAGAAGAATTGTTTGTATTTTTGCATTTTGCTTAAAAATAACCCAACATTTTGAAAAATTTATTTAGCAAATTTGTCTTTACTGTTGATATAATCTCAGGTATACTTTCCCAAACAGTTTAAGTGTAATCAACTCTTTCAACATAGTGTCTTACTCTAACAACCATTGTCTCTCATAAAGGCTGGGTATGGATCAGATTTTTTTTAAATGAAAGACATCCATCTGGATCCATTATCACAAAGGTCCCTAATCAGCTTTGGACATTTTAGAATTCTATAATAAGAAACCAGGTTAATTTTGCCCAGGTTAAGGGAAATACAAACTATGGTAGATTTTCATTTTGTTTTCTTTTGGCTTCTTTTCTTGTAAAACAAAGAACAAAATGACAAATCCAAATTTGAGACATCTGGATGTTTCCCATCATGAGGCTTAAACATCTGCATTTTTTCACTTCTCATCCAGATGTTTTGGGCTTATGTAAACCTAGCTAAAGTAAAGCAGAATATCAAGCAATCATCTGGGGACTTTGATTAACATGGACAGCAAATCTGAATAATCCATGTTCTGGGAGTCCTGTTTTTTGTCTAGCTCAGAACACATTACTAATGAGGTCAAAGTTACTGTAGGCTTGTTCTTTCTATGGGCCAGCTAGCTCTGATCTGTTCCATGACCACAGAATGCACCTCTTGCTTAGCCAGCTGTCTGGAAAATGAGTGTCCTTTGTCATCCAGGCAGTCACGCATGAAACCAAATAGCCCATCTCTTCCAATTGGGAAGTACAATAAAATATACATTTTTTGTGGATGGTAGGTTGCTGTGTTGTTTTGTGTAGAATAATAATTATAGTTGTAACTTCAATATAATTTTTATGCTGTGCAAAGTACTATTCTAAGCACTTTTGCCCACAACATTCAGGATTCTCCTGTATATGTGTTTTATTTTCAAAATACAAAATGAGATAGAAATGCTAAGGAATTTTCCCCCAGCTGAAAATAGATGAAACTGTTCTGGGTTTTAGGCGTTTTCACACAACCCCTCTATCAAGATGGTGAATGACTCTTGGTTTATTTACTGCTTGGAAAATTCTCTGGAAGAGGATAGAAACTGGGACATTTCTGCATACTGAATTCATTGGTAGAGTTGCTGGTGGGTCTCGCCCTGTGCCCAGTAAATGAGGCTAATCTAATCCTTATTCTTCCACCTAGAATAATAATTATAGGTATAAATGTAACCTTCGGAAAAAAGAAGTTTTTGTTGGCAATGTGTGGGCATATAAAGTATGTGTTTAGGGAAAGGGATGTTGTGGTTAGGAGCAATGAGTTATATTGGGTGGCCTCATAGAACTGAGCTGTCTGAATCTTTTGAGGAATAATGATTTGTGTAACTGGCAGGATCTTTAAGAAACTTTGATCTCCCACCACAAATATACTTAGAATCCTAAAATCCTAGGCCCAAACAGGATGTAGAGAGATAATCTGGTACATTTCCCCTCTCTTGTTAAGTTGTGAAGTTACCTACTGAAAAAAGCAAATGAAAGATAACATGCTCCTTATTTTGTGATGGACTTCACAGATGCTCCCAACCTTCCTTTCCCAATTAACCTACAAATGTGATGTGATCAACACCTTGTGATGGGTCCCATTTATGGGTATTGGGACTCTAGCCAAGAATGAAATGAGACTACTGTTCTTTAGAAACTGTTTTTTTTTTCTTTTTTACATTTGATATTTAAATTCTCTCCCCTTCCCCCACCTCTCTCCCACATGTGTGTAGATGCAAATATGGAGAAATGGGAGTTGATCTACTTCTACCATGTGGGACCTAGAGCTCTAAGTCAGGTAGGTAGTCAGGCTTGGCAACAAGTAGTTTGATATACTGAGCCATATTGCTTGTCTTGACTTGTTTCAATGCTTTCATTTCAAGGTCATCAGTCTTCATTTTAAAATAAGATGTGGAATTTAAATAGAACCAGATAGCAGGGCTTGAGAATAAGATCCCATCATTTTCTTCCTTGTGAATTTGGAATTACAAATGGAGAAAATGTACTTATTGGGTTTAAAGAACCACGTTTGCCATTTCAGAAAATTCATCTCTTCCAAATGTTTCATAGGGTATTTCAGAACCAATTACACCTAGCACTGTGCATTCTATCTCCTTACCCTAGTGGTATCAGAATACTCAGTATAAAGCATGGGTTTAAAACTTGAAAAATTCCTTTGATCCAAATAATGTTTCTGTTTTTGTTTATTGAACTGATTACTTTTACATTTCTACATTTTTGCATCACCATATCCTGTCTTTTTCTTCGTCTTCTTGGTCTGCCCTTTGCTGAGGTTTAAGGTCACCACTTATCTCCAGCTCTCATTTCAACTGGAATGTGAAAATAGTCCTGTTACTGGCTTCCCATCCTCCATTCCCTTTCCCTTCCTAATTCTCCCTAAATCTGCTTGCTCCTGGGATGAATGCTTTAACATCTCTCCCAGTCTTATTCCCGTTTCTGTTCTTGCTGTAACCTGACGAGAACTTTCTTTTCTCCCTTCTGAATTCTCATGTGTTATGCTCTGTATTTGAGAAGCCATTTTCACCACTGCTTTCTCTATACCAAACATATCTCTTGCACAAGTCAATACAGAATCCTCCATCTCACTTATTACCGCATGTGCAAAATGCTATCCTATACTGAATGGTGTATGACAAGTACTGCTTTCTTCATGAGTGTGATGTGTAAACAACTTCAGAACAAGGGTTGTGATTTAAAACTTTCCTCTTATATTTTATGCACTGGAGAGTATACAGCAGGCACTCAGCATATTTAATGATTGACTAAAATACAATCTGGTGAAAATATAGTTGAGAAAATAGCAGTGAGCATGTAGAAAAACAACGTAGGTGGCTGTACATAATTTTACAAGTTCTGTTTACATCTTAATTCAGTAGTGTGATAAATATTCTTCTTAAATTTCTCTTGGCTGATTTCAGTTCCTTTTAAAGGCAACTTTGATATGAAAGAGTTTAAAGTGAATGATTAAGCTTATCATTTTTTTCATATATTTATGAGAGAGCCTTAATACTAAAAACTCTGAACTCTGACCTTGCATCAGGCATCTCACAACAAAAGTGCATGAGTAATAGAGGAACTGGAGCCAAACAATTTTCAACATTAACTTCACTCTCAAAGAAAGAGTAACAATGATTCAGTGTTCATATTTAACTGATTTCTGTAGGACACCTTTCCATCTTAGCTTTAGTGTCAGTTCATTACCTCACCTTGGGAAATGAATACAAGAAGCTTGATTTATACATGTAATTTTCAGGGTATTTCCTTTGATCATTAATTATTATTATTTTGGAAAACACATTGTAAAGTGAACTAGATTTTCTCTCTCTCTCTCTCTCTCTCTCTCTCTCTCTCTCTCTCTCTGTGTGTGTGTGTGTGTGTGTGTGTGTGTGTGTTATATGAATATGAATTTTCAAGTGTACATGCCAGGATAGGATGCTTGGTGTCTTCTCCAAATTTTCCAACTCCCTGCCTTGAGACAGGGTATCTTATTGAACCAAAACTTACCTTCCAGCTAGGCTTTATGACCTGCTAGATTTCACAATCTTCATTTCTTTATCCTCCAATGTTGGGTGTGCCTATGCACCCATGTTCAAATTTTTGCATAAGTGCTGGGGATTTGAACTCAGGTGTTCATACTTGTAGAACAAATGTCTTCCCAATATCCAAACTGAAGCTGTTTTCTCAAGCTGTGTATTAATTTGTCTAAAAATAAGGCTTTAGACCAATGATTCTATACTCTTGTAAGCCCTATAAATACTACACTTGTCAAAGATTTTCAATCCTATTGTCAGAATTTTCTCTTGTTATTTGCTTACAAATTTTAACTGATTACATTGTAATCATTTGGTTACTATTCATTTCCATTTCAGCTCATATTGAAGTCCTATAACTGTGTCTTTACAATGGAACTATTTTCACTTCTAACTGCATCCTTCTAGAAGCTTTAAGCTGCACAATATTAGCCTTCCATCCACAGCGAAAGCATCTTCTTTTACATGATGTTACACTGGATTCATGTATTACTGGAAGTTTGATGGCTTCTCTGTGTCATAGTTTTGAACACATTCTTGAAAATAGGATAGATTTGGTTCTAATTTAATTAAGGTTTATAGTTAGTGGTCAGTGATCTAATTTTTTCAGAAAATACACAGCTACATTGTTATCTCTCTACTTAGATTGGGGATCATACTTATCAAACCCTCCCAGAAGTCACATTGTGCCAAATTAAATGGATAATCATGTTGTCCGTATCCTTGAACATTATTTATTCTCTATGGAATGTTTTGATTTGTATGTATTATTCTTTTTGTATTTTTCATTTTGATTTTCAGAATGTTTCACCTTTAAAATTCAGTTTGTAAATGTATTTTTGCATACAATAACATAATAATAAACTTGTTATGAGTGTGTAAGGACTAGTTGTAACCATGGGTTCCTAGATTTCCAAAGTCTAGTGTAAATTTGACAGGGGAAAAAAATCTTACCGTAAAAACAACAAGAAGCATATATCGTGTTCTAGACTAAATACTTATTATACCCCATGGGTTATATCTTTTCATTAAAACATCTCAGATGAAAATTAAATTTTGAATTGCCATCTAGAAATAAATTTTTATAGATAGTGTACACATTAGTTCCTGAAAATGGTAGAAAAGGTTTCTTGTCAAGTTCCCCAGCACAAGTGTGAATGCTCTGTTTCTGAGTACCTACAAGCAGTGAAAGGACACATTGTGGCCAGCCAACTCAAATTGCTACCCACGTTTAATCATTGTAAATAAAGGAAGCAGAGAGGCCCATGTTATATTTTCAGAACTGGCATGCTCAATACAGAACTATTAGTTTAAAAATATGACTGCACATTCTATTTGAATTAATCTAGATTTCTGTGAAAAATAAAATAGTAAAAAGTACAGTTGTCCACTTAAAACATGTAGCACTCATTTCATGCAGATTATTAATTTAGTCATTACATATAGCATTAAGGAACACCCAGAGTAAATACAACTTTATAACACTGGAAAAACACTTCAGAATTGATAAATTTTCATTTTGAAATGCCTATAGTTTTTTTTTTACAGAAGTTTCCATTTCTGGTGGGAAAATACATCTATGAAATACCTACATACACTGAACAAGGATTTTCAAAGGAGAAACTAATTGTCTCCTGGTGAAATGAACATGTATCACTGTGAAACTTTTACACAGTTTGTTTCTTAATGCATTTTCTGAACAGTTAGATATAGAAAAGCATCAGATAAACAATTACTTTCACAGAACAGATGGATTACAGGAAACCATCCATGGAAAAAGATTACAGACAGGTCATCAAAGCATATTTTCTCATATTTGCTTCTACTTTTGGGTCTCACAATCACAAGGGTTTTAAAAAGTCTTAAATTTTACACATTTTGTACATTGTCCTTGTTTATAATTGTCCAAGAACTTTGTAAGAACCATTTGCAAAATTTCTGAATCAACTTTGATAAGCAGTTAAGACATTGATCCCCACAGGTATCAAGTTGGAGAAAACACCAAATTAATTGTGAGTGACAGAAAGCCATAATACACAATAAATACTAGATTATGGGTTCATTCCTTATAGCCAATAGGAGATAGGTTATTGACAAAGATGTTCTGATAATAGTACAGTCACAGTCACTTTATGAAGGTAGGCAAGTTTAGTCTATCAAATGTATTCTCTGAAGCACCGGGAGTAGAGATACTTCTGCAGGAGCTTTGTACATATAGCTGAACAGACAGACTCACTGTATGTACAGAATAGTGTATTTCACAACTCTGTTGCAGATGAAAAAGTCTGCAGTTGCTGCTCTATCACTAGTAAAACAAAATGACTTAGCACTTCATTTCTGAATATTTTTGTTACTTCTTTCCACCTGCAGACATTTGCAGTCAATGTATATTTAAGTTCAACTGGCAATGAGGCTGAAAAACAAGTGAAACAAGGCCCACATCTTCACACAAATCGTAGAGACACTCACAAGAGTGTTTGAGGGAAAAAAAACACATCTAAATGTGAATGTTTTTGAAAACAATAAAATGTGCACTTTAAGATGTATTTTCAAAGTTGTGATTCTTTTAATGATCCAGAAAGTCATAGGGCTTACTAAAAATCATCTTTAAAGAGCTTAGAGCTGTTTATTCATTTGCTTAAGGAATGCACATAGTTTACCTACCAGTTTGGCTACAGTTGATGTGCTTGTCTAATAGAACTAAAAGCTGTTATTACAGGCTGTTGATTTAGTCGACAGGAGTTGTCCATTACGTTGAAGAAGATGTAAAAGTTTCAATCATACTGTTTTCTCAACTGGTCTTCCTGGACAAACAATCTTCAAATTGGCTGCATCAATATTTTTCCTTTATAATCCTCAACTGTTTTCAATTATTCTAAAGAAGTTCTCCTTTCCCTTAAACATTCATTCATAATTTTCAAATTCATTGAGTCTCTAGAATTTCCTCTTTTTTTGAAAAATACTGTTCAAATGTTGAACTCCTAAACATGGGCAGTCCGTGTAGTGCCATAACACCTACTTGAAAAGGACACAAATAATTTTTTTTCTTTTCAGAAAAAATCAAAACTGTACATTGGGACAAGGTGCCACACTACAAAAGCAAAACCTTCTATTCCCCCACTATTCTATAAATGTAAACAAAAATATTTAAGTATAAACATCATTTTGTGCCTTTTTCTTCATATTTCCAGCACCTCAATATTTTTGGGTGTAGTTTATGCTCAGTATAGCAGAAATTCCATATTCTCGTGTAGTTGTTTAGAGGAATTAAGATTTTTTTCTCACTACCAAATATCACTGGTGAAGCTAAGCTCTTTGGATGACAATGGCAGTAGGGAATTGTTCCTTGAGAATTCCTCCGTCTCTTTCAGGGAATTATTAAGGGGTAGCTGTCCATTCAGGAGTGTCAGGGGCAAGTTACAGTAAGTGTGGTGGTTGCCTAAGGAAGGTACTGACAGGGTATTGGTTGGCATCTCATGTTTGTATCCTCTGCAACATTGCCTCTTTTCCATTGAATCCGAATGGTGGAACTCAGGGAGATCAGCTTGAGATGGCACCATTGTGGCTGAGGTACTCGTCATGGCAATTGAAGGTATAGGGTGAAGTTCTCCAAAAAGCCCCTGTTCTGCAGAGTCTAGCACGTGACAATGGGATAGCATTTCTTTTTTCTTGATGGGCATTTCATACACTAAGTGCTTCCAAAACTTAGAATTCAATTTGCTGCTTTTGGGTCCCTTCCACTTGATCAGTGATAGAAGTTTGATGTTGTGCTTTAGTGACTCCACTTCCTGGCAATTCACCTTCCCTTTTAATTCTGTACACTCAATCAAAATCACTTTGATTTCTCCACTGACTAGCATGTTATGGAGTCTGCTTTCCAGTTCGAAAATACTCCATCCCCGTCTGAGAATATAGTCTGGAGTTAGCACGATAATAAGTCTTCTGCTTTGCTCAACACATCTTGTGAGATCTTCAATGTATGCTATAAATCACAGAAAGAGAGAAAGAGTAAAACAAAGACATTGCCAGTCTTTAAAGCATTAGGTTTGCATTCTAGATCCAGTATTTTACTAAAGTCCATTACATTTTCTTTTTCCTATTTCGTGAGCTCATTTCTGCAACACTTAAGTAATTATAAAGAACTGATTATATCCGTATGTTCTTTGCCTCGTTATTACTTACAATGTACCTGTGACCCATACAAACTTTGGCTTCTTCAGAGTTTAGGTCTATTTCACCAATTTTTGTTTATTTAATCAATTAACTCAAGACAAACATCCAGGCTAGTTAGTTAGTAATTTAAGTGAACAAGTAATCAACCAGTCCATGAAAAAAAGAACAGAAACCTTTTAATAAATGGTTATTTTACTTTACTTTTGAGTTTGGTGTATTTTTCTCCTTCCTTTCTGTGTTTTATATTTATAACTTTTAGCTAACAAATAATGGTATCCATGACTCCTATTTCAATTGCTAAAATATTACAGATGCTGTGTGTGTGTGTGTGTGTGTGTGTGTGTGTGTGTTTGTGTTACCAACATGACCATCATAAGAGATTGTGAGATAGAGATAGTAGGTGGGAAATCTCTTCTAGAATCACAATCAATTCATTTATCAGAATACTTTCTGTCATTTGAAGCATTAGGTCTTCAATATTGTCCTTCAAACTAATAGATAGGGAAGTGAGGTGTGTTCATGAATTAAATAAGAATGATCTATTGCTTTTTGGTTCAAGGAAGAAGAATGAAGGGTGGAATTAAAGATGGGGATGGTAATGCAATAGAATGACTGAAAAGAGGAAAGGAGGCCAGATACTTATAAACAAAAATTTGTGTTGCAATTCTGAAAATGCGGTGAATATATTATGGCTTTCTTTGTGGTAGCAAAATACCCAAATTGATACTAGGTTTGTTTATCCTGTGCATTAATCCTTTTGAGATTATGCTTCCCACAGTCTCATCTGCCATAAATGGAAGCCCATATATGTGTTTTATTAACAAATAGAGACTTGGACACAGGTGCTGCATCAGAAAGCAGTCTTTACTAAGCAGAGCACAAGGCTCTGTTGTCTAATATACAGTGTCCTCTAGCAGAAGCAGTGCTTACAGAAGCATGGCAACATTTGTCACTACAAATCTGGCCCCTGTTATGGACTGCTTTTGAGTAGTCACATTCAGCACATAGCACGGGAGACATCAAACAGCTCGGTACAAGCCATTTGAAAAGAGAAACTTATTTTACAGGTGCACAATTTACAGATGATCTTCTTTTTTCCAGGAACATATTTTTACCATTTGGCAGCGAGAAAACTTTCAAAAGCAACAATGAGCAACATTTCTTAACACCTCCCCTATTAAACAACAGCAGCAGCAACAACAAAATAAACATTTAAAAGAGATACATGGAATTGTCTGTTTAACAGTTTCTTGTTAAAGATAGTCTTAAAAATATATTTCAGAATATTCTCATGCAGTGGTTACATTTGACAGTATTTTAGAGAATGAGGCTAGTCACTTTCTTGGGATGCAACCTCTCAATAATTTTAAGTGTTTTCCGTCATAGATTATGTATTCAGAGGGAAAAGTTGGCATTGACACTAAACACACAGCAGTGGGGAGTTTTGTCACTGAAAGAACTGGTGAAACAAATGGAAGGAAAGGAGGAAAGTTTCAACAGAGTGGGAAGATACTATCCCAATGTATCAACAGCTCTGACTCTTCATTTTCTTCCTTCCTTTCTGCTCCCAAAAAGAAAGAAGTTATGTGGGAAGCTTCATCATTAGAATTTGGATCTGTAAGATACAGTAAAATAAACTATCATGGATGTTTCCCATGATGCTTTTCACCTTTTTCTCCAAAGCAAAATCTAACCAAACAATCATGGTATTGGTGAAAAATACATGAGGTTATACTTTTATCAGGCGGATAATGAGTTCATTGTAATTTCATAGAAATTCCTTTTACTAATAATTTCCCAAGACTTTATTTTCAATACTATTGTTATCTCATCAAATTGGAGCCTACAATTTGAAATTTTAAAAAGTAGCATACAAGTACAAATCTTTTCAGTAGTCACAGTAAATATATCTCTTAGACCAACTCTACTTTTATGTTAGGCTATACTCTAAATGTATCTTTAAAAACAAAGGTTTGGGATGAGTTGGGTGAGGATGGTGAATATGATAAAATCTCATTGAATGAATTTCTCAAAGAAGTAACTAAAATGTGACCATGTAGAGCAGGAAAGAAAAGATTCTTGCAGGAAAGAAAAGATTCTTACAGAGAAGAATTAGGATTGGATCAGTCTAAGAATGAGCTCTGCAAAACTTCTGCTATCTCAAGAGGAAACAGCAGTTGTCAGAAAAAAAGGGACAGCAGAAGCCATAAAGATAACTTCTGTGGTTCTCTGTTGTTTCATAGAAAGGAGTTCTAAGTACTTAGGCAAATTGTTTTAAAAGCAAAATCTATATATCTACTTATCTCTACATAAAGACAAATTACAAGTCAAGCAGCAGTTAATTTAACTGAGCTATCATGGACTTCAGCTTTGCTGGTTTCTTTCTGGGATGGGGAATAGAAGAGTCTAAAATATTTTCCCTTTAGTATAGTTCTTCCAGGGCACAAATAAATCATGTTTTCTCCGTTTTACATTGAAGTAGAATGCAACATTTGGGGATTTAGGGGCATCTTAGAAACTTTTGCCCCCAGAAGAAATTTATTAGGACAGTTCCCACTCTGCTCAGCTGTACAGGGTGTGGTGTTGAAGAGAACCTTGGAGAGAGGGAGTGGTCCCAGTCTCCTGCATACTACACTGGCTGTGCTTATCCTGGCAAAGCCTAGTGGAGAGTTGAGGCAAGCATCCAGATAATTCGGGCTGAAAACCTGCTGTGGAAGAAAAAAGTGGAATTATCCTGGTTTGCCCTATATATACATTAATCATATGTACTGGAGTTAGACAGTACATCAAAATTTTCCCTGGTTAGAAATAGCCCAAGTGTCCCAAAGAAAACACAAGCCATTTGCTTGGGCCTTGAATTCTGTGTTCCATTTCACTTGATGAAAAAGCAAGTGGAAGTTTTCAGATGTGAAGCCCACATTTCACTTCTTGGGATGGTGATCAGTGGCTGGGCAGCAACCTTAATATTTGAAAGCATCTGGGGAGGTGCCGCTAAGAGCTGCCTGGCTCTGTGGAAAAGAGGGAGAGACTGTGTGCTCTAGCTCTTACCTTCTGGCTCACTCTTTGTTTACCTCTCCTTCTCCCCTCTCTGCCACATGCTCTCTTCCTTTCTTTTTCTTCTTCCATGCTTCTTTTCCATCCCCTCCTTTCACCTCCAAGTTTCCCTTCTTTCTCTTTTTGAAAATTTTCATTATTTTCTTATTTATTTTTTCATTTATTTCTCCCCTGCCCCATCCTTCCTCCTGGTTCTCTCTTTCCTTTCAGCCTTTCTCTTTTTCTTTGGGAAATACTAGAATCTAGCAGTCATGCAAAAATGTACATAATGAAGAAGAAATAAATGAGGCATGGTCCAAAGATTTTACTTGTTCGTCTTTAGCCAAGGAGTCATTGTTGGCTGGCTCTGTGTATGAAGCAAATGCTCAAGATAATTCTCTCCTGTCCTGGGAGTTGTATATCTGTATCTAGTTTCTGTGATTTTAAACCTGATCTTCTAAAAGTCATGGCCTGTTTGGGGGTGGCTCATGAACAAAGAGTGACATTTTTACATCTTGAAAAGGTTTTTTTATGATGATGATGAATAAGATATAAGATGAAAATGATGCAAGGGACGTGATCCACAAGTATTAAAATATTTACTATCTGGATCTTTACAGGGAAGATTTGCCACCCCTGAATTATAGACCAGGCAGGGTGGTTAGGCTTGGAACAGTTCCAAATAAGCTAAAGAGTAACAGGTACCAAGTTAAGATATTTCTGGTCCACAGCACAGTGTCCAACAGGCAATCAGGCTGTGGTTTTGTGGGAGACATTTAAGAAGCCTTCAGAAAATGTATTAAAAAACGTGTTACCACAAAGTGATGATAAAGAAACATTTTTTTTCAATAAAAGTCCCCAAATTCTCAGCAAATATGAATACTCACTACATCTTGTCCTGACTTGTTCAGTCAAAAATAGCAACAGAGTAGCAAAAGAAATCTCTTAAAAATATATAATATCCTTTAAATGAAAGGTCGCAGCAGCATGTCATTTTGCAAGTTTTGGTTTTAAGTAACTTCTGATGGCAAAGAAGACCAAAGAGAGCTGTACTGATTCTTGTTTCTCTAGAAGAGTCTGTGAAAGCACAGACAGAATAAGAGACATGGAATAAAGCCAGCCAAGCAAATTTGACCTAGTCATGACCTTCATAACTAGGCAAAGCAAAAAATCTTCAATGGAATTTTGATTGAGGTGCTTAAGTTAGGATAGGAATAATTTAATATTTTACATGTCAATGCCAAGAAGGATATCTTTTTGTCTTATTCAGGGACTGGCTCTTTGCAACACATTGTCAAAGAAAATCCCTTGTCACTTAGACTCTCATTTGGCAATGCACATGCCAGTAGCATTATTATTGGTGAAAATCAATGAAAGTGACTATTTAAAATATTATTAAAAATATGGTGAATTTGATTTAAAAATCTCATTCAGGAGTTTGATGAAAGAAAATTCCAATGGATTTATTTAGAGAAGTAGTATTAGAGAAAACTGACCTTAAAATGAATTGTGCTTGTTTTAATAAATCAAAAGACAAAAATGAAGGGAGGAAAAATAAAATAGAAACAAAGAATAGTGGTCCTGATTAACTGCATCTAGAGGGATATGTATGGGTTTGAAAACTTCAGGACCCTTCTCACTCTAAAGCTTTGGGTTAGCCGTAGAGGGAGAGAGGATAGGAGTGAAAACAAAACTACAGTAACGTTCTTTGTTAGTCTACCTCTGGCTACTGACAGCCTGATTTTGCAAGTTAATAAATTAGCTATTTGCAAATTG